CGTGCATATGCTTATGCGGCATCGCGGTAAGAGCGGCATTCAAACTAATTAATGCGTTTTATATGTACTTAAGTGATAGTTGGATTTATTTAACGCTAAATACTTTATCGCATATTTGCATTAGACTCTAATAAATTAGCCAAAAAAGCCAAATGGCTGTGGGTAGAAGAAATCAGGATTGGCTAAACGCCGTCTGCCGAAGGCAACGCGACGCCTGCCGTATCCGAAAGGTAATCTGCCGCCTCCGAATCGTCGACCGCCTCCGCCAGCAAACCGAGCACCGTCGAAACGCCCAAAACGTCCGATGTTGCCTAACTGCCTGGCCAAGCGCAAAGCCGGCATCTCCTGCTGATCCGCTGCCTGATTTACATCCGCCAACAACAGTTGCTTCATTTCCGCTGCTGGAGCAGCAACGCCCACTGCCAGCAGAGCACTCAGCACTATTAGATATAAATGAATAACACGCATTGCACCCTCGCTATAGGGCACCGACTCTCTGCAATACTAAAATGTAACAAGCACTCGACTCGACTCCACTCTTTATATATGTATGTATAGAGGGGGACTACTGCTGCTGCTGCTGCTGGTGCTTGGCATGCCTGTTAATTCTTAACGAGCCGCTGACCCTTTCGAGCAATTAAATTTCCTGAGCATTATCAAATGGCCAAGAAAAATCCCCTCAAAGTGCCGCCAGCGCGCACTGAGTACTGATCCCAACTGCTTCTTTAACTGTGTTGCTGTTGTTTGTTCGCTGCGTGGCAGCATGAACCTGGCTGGCTAATTATGTCGTCGAAGCACAACAATGCCAAGCCCAGTACATAGACCACTAATCCAATTATACGTATACGCAATTTCATCGTCAGCATGATGCCGATTCTAATGCTCATTAAGAGATTTCGTGTGCACACTTCACATGTAAGTTGTTTACAATTTGGAAAGCCAATGCCCCGAGTGCCTCCCCCACCTACCTCCCACCGCCATTCCCAACTCAAACGCAAATGATACATGCTTACAAACAGGCGTACTCGTATTTATAAGCCATAAATAACGTGTAAACAAAGAGCTGCCATAACAAGCATACGCCCTGTGGGCAACTGCCAAACGGATCCCACTCCGGCTGCTGCCACAACAATGGCAGCTATATAGCTATATAGCGGCAAACAGAAACAGCATCGCGGCCAAATTATAAGCCTATAAAAGGCAATAAAAAACTTTGCGATATCAAATTACAACGCCCTCATAAAGTTATAAAAGTTTCAAGCGTATCCAACAGCACGTTTCGGCACCGCAGCCATCTCGCAGCCCTGCCTTATCCCCTTTGCCATTGCCATTGGCTTTGCTGTTGCCGAAATCGATTCCAGTTTCGAAAGAGGCCTAATATTTTCAATAACAAATCAATCAGCTGCTGCTGCTGCTGCGGCTGCTTCTGTTTCTGCTCCTCCTACTCCTGCTGCTGCTACGGCTTCTATCGGACAACAAGGATAATCAGTTAGCATGGCTTTTGCCAGCTGCCAGCTGCCAGCTTGGCCCATCATCAAGGTGGTGTAGATTTATTGAGACACGCCCTTGATAAGATGCTACGCAGGGCAAGTGAAGTCAAGTCAAGCCGCTTTCATGCTCCAACGCCCATGGCCAGCTATTTACATATAGAGTCTTGTTTGCTATCAACTTTTAATGTCGCTCCAGAATATATAAACAATTTTTTCCGTAACATCCTTTTTAACTGTATATCAAACATTTATTCTTTGTGAAAACTTTCGGAAAATGTTTGCCGTTGCTGCGTAGCATCGCAGCGGCATCTATAGGGGTAAGGGTGAGCGAGAGGGCAAGGGTATGCAATGAAATGCCTGCCCTCCGTAGCTCCAGCCTCAATATAAAGACATTTTTCCTTTATGCCCAGGCGCACATAGAGTTTTGAACAAAACTTTTATAAATTGCGGGCGGGGGCGTGCTTAAGTATGTGTGCGTATGTGTGTGTGTGCGTAGCGACCACGCTAAGGTCAAGGGATAACAAAAGGCGTAAATTTAAAGCCGAGTTAATTTTTTAACAATAAAATCCGCTTGTCAAAAGCCAAATTTAACAGCAACGATTTAATCTTTATCGACGGACGTCAAACGGTGGCAATTTAAGAGCGTAAAACGTTCCAGATAAGGCGCAATCCATTTATTTGTAGTATAAATAGCAGCAATTTATACACATTATGCACATAGAAAAGCTCTTGATTGCAAATATGTTTAGAGCTAAGCCATATATTAACTCTATAATTAAATAATTAAAAAAGAGCAAGCTAAGCCGAAACTAAACTTTAAGTCAAACCGAAATTTAATTTAGTAATTTTCATTGGCCAACTATGGGCAATCCGAGCACGGCTTCTGTGCCAAATTCGAGTAGCAGGAAAGTTTGAGGCTGCCTTCACTGGATCTCAGCTTCATGGCCAAACCAATTTATATGAATTCACCAACAGTCTAGCTAAACGTTAGCCGGGGCCATAAAACTAGAAGTGGTTTGGCTTGGGCTTGGGCTCGGGCTCGGGCTGCCCGAACTTTTGCCTGGCCATAAGCGTTGCAGTAACTCCCAAATGAAATGTATACTCCGAGTCGAGCATTTTATATTAACTGTCTGGCTAAGCGTGAACAACAACGGCAACGGCAACGGCAACGGCAACAACAGCAATCGCTTGCCCTATAATAATAACGGAAACTTATTAGGCAACTAGACAAGTCCAGTTAAGTCCAATACACTCTGGGCAGCTGGTCAAGTGGCTACGAGACAGAAATTCAAATGTCTAAGCTGCGAAACTTCTACGAAAGTAATTACTTTCCAGAACTTAATACCAAAATATCAATTAAAGTTGCATTTTAAATACCTGAGTTGGACAACTATCCGGCTCGCCAGCCCCCTTCATTACGCAAAGTATTGTGCTTATGAATTTGGAATGTGTTAACTTTTAATTGACAAAAAAGTCATTAGTAAAAAATCTCTTTAGATATAAGGTGCCAAGACTATAAATGAAGCTTAAACCAAATAACTAACGCTTGAAACCAAGACTACAGGACTATTAGGACGATTAGGTCCGACTAAGAATAAAATGCATTTTACTGGAGATAGCTCTTGAAAATAAATTGAATGAATTAGTCTCCAAATGTATTTTTCTCTCTTTTGCTACTTTTTCGGTCGAGAGATTGAAACCTCTTTCGTCCTCTCTTCCTTCTATATCGAGGTTTTATCTCTCTATATAATCATGTCTATATCCTTTTCCTGCGCATCCTTTACTCTTCCACTCTTTGCCTCTCATTCTAAAATCCTTTGCCATTCGCAGAATCACTCCATAATTCTTATTTTCTAGCGCTCCCTATTTTTTCTTTGTCTACTTTCTTTCTTTGTCTATATTTCTATTTCTTTCTATCGTTCAATTTTCCTCTTTATCTCTTCTCTCTTTCCTTGCTTCCAGTCTCTCGCTTTCTTCCCTCTCTCCCTCGCACTTCTTATCTTTATACGAATTCACTCGTTCTGTTTCTCCCCCATTGATCGTCATCTCTTTACTTACTCTGAATCTGTTATCTCTCTTTGCTCTCTGTATCTAACTTCGAATCTTTGTATTTCTGGTTCTATCTCACTTCTTCTATGCTTGCCTCTCTCTCTCCCTTTCTCATTCACTCACTCCCTCTCACTCTAAGTCCCTTATCCAACTCTTTCGCTCTCTACCTCTCACTTCTCTCTCCTTTCCTTCTATTCAAATCTGCCTGAAATATGTGCATCTCTTCGCACATTTAACCCCTGCATAGCATTAATGCAATTTTAATCCAATCTGGCTTATTGTTCTGGCCAAGCGCTAATTTATGCAGCCGGATGATGAGGACGAAGATAATGGCAGTTCGTGACGAGTCTAGTCAAAATTTTGAGTGCGATAGTTCTCCGGACAGTCAGTGGACAACACATCACATTGTGCTGCAGCTTGGGCTGTGGACGTCGCGACGTTAATTGACCCAGTTTCTTAACTGGCTTAAAACGTTTAAATTTGAATAACCAAGTTAAACAACGACACTCTGGGCAAACAGTTTCTGAACCATGACGCGATCATTTTGCATAAATGAATAAATATGGATCTCGATGGCGGCTTGGATTTAGCTTAGACTCTATAGAATATCCCATAAAACAAGAATACATAAATAATAATAAAAAATCAACTAAAATCGTGGCACATGCGGCAGGCCGCAAAGCTGCACAGAGGCATTGAGCCATCGAGTATTGTTAATGGCCAGGCCGCGCATAAAACAAACAGCTAGCCAAACAAAAACAAACATGCGAACAAACTGGCTGGCAAATAGGCAAACAAACAGCAACAACACCTACAATAACAGCAAAGCCAACACCAGCTAACAACAACAACAACAACAAACAAACAACAAGCAACAAACAGCAATTTACACTTACGCACCAAAAGTTGAAGCTTATGACGTGTGCGTGCGGTACGGCCACGGCCCGTAGAGGTCTTGGCCTGGTCAATAGCATAACTAACCTTCAAATGAAATTAGCACATTTGCACAGCTTACCTGACCGCAAGCACTGGTTAAGCGTTGGGCCAGCAGGTGGCAGCAAAAGTTGAACGTACCTACCGGACTGCCGCCACTACCAATACCGGCATCCACCGCAAAGTGAAATGTTTTGCTCTTTAAACATCCACTGAGCCATTCGATTTCATGAACGCCACTTAGCGTGCGACTTAATGGTGTTGCCAACTGGCAACGGGCAAACGGGCGATGGGCGATGGGCCACTGCCGACTGGTAGCTATATGAATTGGCTTTTTGTTCCATTTTGTGCCGCAATCGCATATTTAAATAGTTTGTTTTATGACGTTTACATTAGCGTCTCATTTCGCTAACAAGCGCCCAAGCAAAAACACCAAAATGAAACAAAAGTTTCTATTTTATGCGCAAAGTTCTAAGGCTATAAATGGTCGAAAACATTCGCTAGCCGGGCCACAGTTGTCTCCCACCAGCGACACACTAAGCACACGGGTCAACACGGCTGCCGCCACACCACATACACCAAATAAGCACAAGTTGAAGCAGTTCGCCACGTAAACAGCTTAAGGAACACCGGCCATTATGCGGAACGCCGCCATATTCGGATTATATGCGCTGCTGCTAATCGTCGCCTGCCAATTGGACGCAACAGTTGGCCAAAGCTCGAAGCAGCAGCCGGAGGCACAGCCAGCGGCCGGCGGAGAACGCGTAGCGAGACAAATTGGCTATGGAGGCTATCCGTCATACTATGGCGCCTATGGATTGGGTGGCTATGGTGCGGGTATCGGAGGCATTGGAGGCATCGGAGGCATCGGAGGCATTGGAGGCATAGGAGGCATTGGTGGCATTGGAGGCATCGGATATGGCGGCTATGGTGGATTGGGATATGGTGGACTAGGATATGGCGGATATGGTGGATTAGGCTATGGCGGCTATGGCGGCTATGGCGGCTATGGCGGCTATGGTGGCTATGGCGGCTATGGTGGATATGGCATGCGTTATCCCTATAATTCCTATGGCAGTATATACAGCGGCGGATATTATGGTCGTCCTTATGGCTACGGCTATGGCATTTGAGCAGCGTGCTCCATGTGAAAAACTCTTAAGCGAAATACATATTTACGTTTTGTGTGAGAAAATCGAGTACGGATTTATTTATCTTAATAGCTAAACGGGAGCGAGTCCGGCGTTGCATGTCTTCATGGTCCTTTGATACGCTTAAATACACTGCGACTCAAAACGATTACCGCTTTCATTCATTAAAAGCTCGTATGGCTCACCTCATTATTTGCTTAGCCCGACGTTAACAAGTGCACTCACTTGTGGCACACGCCCACTGGCTGTGCGGCGTGCACAGCTGGCGATAACTGCAGCTTAAGCAAATAGCACTGAGTGCCGGGGGGCCTGGGCGGGGTGGTGCGCGCGACAGGAAGAACTGTATCCTTTTTAGATTTTAATTACCGATACTGCGACAGAGCACTGTGTCAGCAGGACACAGTGAGAGAGGGAGAGGAAGGAAGAGGGAGCAGTGTAGCGTCATTATCCAAGTCCTAAGTCCAAGTTCTATAGTGGCATTTAATTAGTGTGACTTTAAACAAGTTGCATTGCTCATACGCACCGCTGCACCAGCTCACATTCCGAGTCCAACTCCCGCACAGCTTAAAGCAAACAAACTTGCTCAAAGCGACAGACCAATTGCAAAAGGAAAAGTACACTAAAGAGAGACTCGGTGGGGCATTCACAAAACTCGAATGCTCTTGCTCAGGAATTGTTAAAGAACTAATTTATTAATTTATTAATGAAATATATTTTTGCTGTCAATCCGCTAGAATAAATTATGCATTGTTAATATATACGGCCGTAGCTAAGATAAAAATAATTTTTCTTATATGTTGCACCTAGTTGGTTTCAGAATCTAACCAACTACTTAAATGCTATATGTATACCTCTAGCCTCTAAGCCGCTTGCAATTGCAAATATTTTCTATGCAGCTTGCATACCCTGTGCTTATACGAACCTCAAAGGCAGGGTAGAATGGCTTGAGAATTTATAGGTAACTAAGTAAGGTATATATTTATGTATCTATTAGAGTTTAGAATTAATGTGAAATGAAAACTAACTTCAAAACTAAGCACTGGCATTTGGAGACTTCGGCTTAGAGGAGGTATATATGTATATGTCGGGGATGATAGAATTATTCGAATAGGATATCTTATCTGTTCATGCATAGTATTGGGTGATATTGGTTGAGTGAGATATTAGCAGTATTATTCGAATAGAATATCTTATCGATATATCGATTCATGCATAGTATTGGGTGATATTGGTTGAGTGAGATGTTAGTTAACACTAATATGATCCTGACGAGGTTGCCACCTGGTTGCGATGGATGTAATGGAACGTGCTAGTGATAAAGCAGACAGTGGATTAGCAAGAGGCCAACTGTGCACGCACCAGCTGCACTCCACAGTATTATCTAATCTGCAGAAATATCTGGCATACATATCGTATACATCTATGTTTTTTTACCGATCAGCACAACAAGCTAAGTCGATCTAGCCATGCTCATTTATTCAAAATTGACATTGAACGGCGCTTCGTCCGCCCCTTAGCCCGCTCGTCCTCTATTCCTGCGTGCATCCACTCATCAATCATTCCATCTCTGCTGTCTATCCATTCATCTGCTCATTGTTCTTCCGTCTATTCATTCCTCCAACCATCTGTCAATTCGTCTAACCCCACGCCTAATCGTCCTTCTATCCGTCCGATTTTCTGTCTACACGGCTTTTTAGCTTTTTTTATCTTTAAATTTCATTCTAGTTCTGCACAGTGTTCAGGGTAGCTGCTAGTTTAGCACGCCCAACTAGCGCACTCTAACTAGTCTTTTTTTTTTTTTTTTTTGGTTGAATACCTCTTTGAGCGTGCGAACCAGTTGAATATGGAGTGAATAGCGTATGCATGTGATTTAATTTTTTATGTTGCACGTATTTGTTTAGCTGCTCGCAGCCGTCAGCTGTGTTTAAAATAGCAATCAGATAACACCTGTTTTTATTTTTGCACTTTTTTTCTCCATCTCTCTCTGTTGAAAAGGCAACAAAGTGTGTGCCCTTTCACCTTTTAGCTACAACTGCTGCTGCTGCTGCTACTTCTGCTGCGGCTTCATTGAAAGTGGACTGCATTTACCTTTTACGCGCTTGACGCTGGCCAGCAAGCATTGAAAGCCTATACACAGAGTGCTGAAAGCCGGGCCAATACTAAGCTGGCCAACTGAATGGCTGCCGCGTTGCCAGGTAATATAAGCATCATTTTATTCTTACGCTTTGCGGTCGGTGTGGGGTTTCGACTGTTTGTAAATTTTTCCACAAAAAGTAGCTACAAATAAAAAGCATCGACAGTGGAGAGATTTAAGCCTGTCAATGTTTACAATGCTGGATACTGCAAAAAAGAGAAAAGATAAAAAAAAATAGAGGCTAAGAACACATCAAGAGTTTATCCATTGACAGACCCAAGACGGGGCTCCACAAAGACGCATCGACGTCTTGTGTATCGCCTGCGATATATCACGTAATTTGTGGCACCTCGAAGAGCCTCGTTGCCGGCGGCAGGCGACCCTTTGAAACGAGCGTGCTGGGTATTAAAACAGATTGGCCCTCAACTGATGGGCAGATAGACACAGGTTAAGATGTGAAGCAAATGGCCGTGGTCAGGCCGCAACCAAAAACCTCGCACCCTTTCAGCGTGCAAATGCGCAAGCAACAGTTGTGTTTAGTTTTCTGAAAGGACTTGACCAAGGAGCTGCTGCTCCAGCTCCTGCTCCTGCTGCTGTGGCTGCTGCTGCTGCTGCTGCACAGCACTCACAAAGACAGCCCTCAAGCAGTAGCCAAACAGTTTAAAGCGCATTAAATTTATCTGATGGCTGTGCGAGAGTGTGTGTGTGTGTGTCTGAATTGGTATAGGAAAAGCGGCTAACAGCCGGGCCACTTGGCTTATCAATGCATTTTAAACGAGCTGCTTGTAAGCTGATGTCGTTGAAATTAATGACAAATTAATATTAACAAAGCAATCTGCTGCTGCTGCTCCTGCTGATGCTGCTGCTGTTCGTGTTGTTGCCATTCGAAAACCAAACAAACCGCAATTTACCCATAGACGGGCGACAACGGCCCAACGACGACGGGCAGCGATTTGGCTTGAATGTTACTTAATTGGAACTTAATGTGCATGGAATTGTTTACAAGCGCCGCGACGGGCATACCGAACAATAGACCTTAGATAAGCACAACAGCCGACAGCTTTGAGCAACACTTCAAAGCTATGGGTCAGGCGAGGGCGGGCATTGGGGGCGGCGGTGCCAAAAGAAAAATGCGTTTTAAAGTGACACTTGATGTAGGTAATGCGACAGCGTAACAAGCCAAACAGAAGAGAGAGAGAGAGATAGAGGAGAAAAACAGAGAGAAGAATAAGTAAAAACACAATAAAACAAAATGAAATAAAATGAAATAAAACGAAATCAAATAGCCCAAGTGGCAGCTGGACTGCTCTGCCAGTGGGACTCAAGCGAATGCCCTACAGTAAACACACGGAATGTGCGCAGGCAACAACACTTTTAGCATTCAAATTAAGAGCAACTTACAATAAATTGCACAATTCATATTTAATGGCATGTGTACACTAGGCGTCCTGGCGCGTCGCGCAGCTAATATGCCTGGCAGTGTAGCGCATTAACAGGCATACAGACATACACGAAAATAAATGAAAAGTGTGGCTTATGCGAGAATAAAAAGCAAATTTCCGAGTATTTATTAGCTTGAGTAATTCAGCTGAAACTCAAGCTAAATCTCAACATTTAAGATCGTTAAAAAATAGCGAGTGCTAACTGAGTTCCCTAAAGTACATTCACTTAAGAAAGATGCTCAAGTACGTGTATAAAAATATCTTGTCTCAGCTCAATCTACTGCTCTTCTTTTTAAAGTATTTGACTCTACTTCTCTGCCTATTAAATAAAAATATCATATTATATACATTATGACCATAAATAGTTGGCTTTAAGCATATCTCTTGGCCGCGTCAACGACCACACAATTTCAACTTTTTTTTATATAATATATACATATGTATATGCACATATATATATATATATTTTTCAAATTACCCTCAGCCGATACGAGTGCTTTAATTTGCTCGCACACTCGGCGACAGCAGCAGCAGCAGCAGCGGCAGCGGCAGCGGCTGGGGCTGTGCGAGCTGGAGTACATTATCTTAAGAGCTGCTCCTCGTTTGCTGTTACAATAAGTCCTGCGCCGACTGCACAGTCGACGTCGACATCTGCGTCGCAGCCACCATCATCACTGTCCAGCGTTGACAGCTGTTACAGCTGCAGAAATATGCAAATTGGAAGGCGTTTTAATAGATAAAGAGCAGCGTGCCGCAGCAGCCCCCACGCAAAGTATAAGACGAAAAAAGGACACCAATGCACAATGGTGGAAAATCTGCAAAAAAACGTACAAAAAATTGCTATATTCTATTAGGAGAAGGGAACAAAAACAAAAACGCGAAAAGTGGCCATAGAAATGTTTCTGCTGCACATTGTGAGGCGAAGTGCCGAAAGCTCATTATCCCATTTGCCACGCGAAAAATGCTTGAGCGAACACAAACCGAACCGAAATTTAAAAATACCCATATTGAACTTAAATGCGTACTTAATTTCCTAATTAATTACAAATAAAAAATGTCCTAAATAAAGGGAACAGAGGCAGCAAAGGGTAAACATTATGTGATTCAGTTTACAAAGCAATGTATTTCCATTTTCTCTTTCAGGTTCTCCTAAAGATAATTAAATTTTATAAGAAAATCTATATTTTAAAATATATCATTAATTCTTATATATTTTTATATGATTTTTTCTAATATTTTATTATATGATATATTATTTATTAATGATCATTATAAATTATATTTCCATGTTATTTTCCATTTTATTTTTGTATTAATGAATTTTTAATATATTTTATTATATGATTTATTATTTATTAATTTTATTATTATATTTTTATGTTATTTTCAATGTAAATTTTTATCTTATTTTATTTTCTTTTTTTTTTTTTTTTTTCCTTGTAAAATTATATATTTTATTTTTATATTTTAAT